TTTGGCCAGAGCCTTCTCAGGTTACTGTTGCCAGAGCCCAGTCTTGTCTGGGCCCTGGGGAAAGGCGCCTGCACTGGGGGCAGATCCGTCTCGTCTTCCAGGGTCAAGGCCCGGCTCCTCTGGCCTTTCCCTGCCGCCTCCCACCCCAGCCCCGGGCTCTCTCCTCTTCCCAAGCTCCTCCTGCTTTGGTATTTCACGCATTTGGCACTGGATGCTTGGTGCTTGGTGCTGTTGGGTTTGTTTGTTTTTGTCCCGTTTTCCGAAGCCAGCCTGCAGGGTGGGCCTGCATCTGATTCATCTCAGCACACTCCTCCCTCAACGCCTTCGCCCCGTGGCCCACGGCAGCTGCCTGAGAGTTATCGATTTGCTGATGGGCCCGTGGTTTTCCTGAGGGAGCTGAGTTTGGCAGCTGACCCCATGACTGGGAAATAAATTGGTCTATTTTAAAGTAATGGGGGATCGTGTCGGCAGTGCCCCATTTTCCCCTTTGTGGATGAAATGTGACACCAATATTGAAGAAAAGAAAAAAGTTCAGAATTATCACTCCTACTGCCCTTGCCGTTCATAAGACGGTTTCCTCCCTCCCGATCAGACAGCAGAAACGTGAGCACAATCTCTCTGTGCACCATCGTCTCCACCCTTCCTGGCTGGCATGGAAGAATCCCGCTTTGGGGGAAGCCCGTCCTGCCCACCCGCAGCCACACGCAGAGCCCCAGGGCCACCCTGTCCTTGCGCCACTCCCCCTTCCTGGCACCTCTCACTTCCCCCTGCGGCGCCTGGTGCCTTCCACGCTCTCCTTCCGTCACCCTGTGAAACTCCACTTTCTGGAAAAGCAGTTCACGCAGCTGAAATGTGACTTTAAATCTTGGTGTTCTTTCTCCTGGTGATGTTCCGATTTAATCGTGGCAAAAAGAGTTTGGGATTACAAGTCAGGACAGTGGAGTTCAGGTGTGATCCCTGCCATTTCCCACTATGGCTGTGGATAAGTGACAACTTCCTCTAGTCACCAGTTTCTTCGTCTGTAAAACAGGGTGATAAAGCTGCCCCAGGGTGGCTTGAGGGGCAAATGGAGGGAGAGTATGAAGCATTTTGTAAACAGGAAGGCGCTGTGCAAAAAAGGTGTTGGTGCTGCAAGACTCTGCCCCACTTAAAAACATTCAGGTATCAGTGAAAAGACAGGGCATATTTTTGGTTCCAGAAGGTTCTTTCCCTGGACCCCACGCTGCACAGATACTCCTAATGCGCACATAGTGGGTGAGCCTTGCCACAGGTCTGGCATTTTACCTGCCCCCTCCCCACAAACCTTCCCTCCCCTCTCTGTGGTCCAGAGTGGCGTCTGTTTTCCCCACAGGAGTCACGGCTCTGAGAAGGGAGCAGGAAGCGGCGGGGAGGCCAGGTGGAGAGATGGAACCATCTTTTGAACTTGGAAAGAGCGACAGAGAATCATTTTGTCCCAGCAGAAGCAAGGTGCTCCCGCGCCCAGATGAAAAGCCTGCTCGCTCCATCTCCGCACGCAGAGCAGTGCAGCGGGTCCCACAGCGGGCCTGGGCGGCGGCGTCTTCGCTCAAAAGCAGAACGGTGGCTGAAAGAAGTTATTTTCTGAATAGACAATACATTCCTGTGATGTAAAATTTGAAAAAATAGACAAGGGTATATGATGAAAGTCTTCCCTGCCAATTGTTCCCTTCCCTGGAGACAGCCAGTGTTTCCAGATCCTGCTAGAGATACTCTAGACATAATCAGACAGAATAGAGATATTCCTTTTCCCTCTTCCGAAACGACAGTGGTGTCATCCCGTACCGATGGCTCTGCAGTTTGCCTTTTCACTTACTGCTCTGTCTTGGAGATGAAAGGAATGAGGCAGCTTGTCGTGCTCCAGCAGGGACCACGGCTGCCTTGCGATGGGCCGTGATCGATGTAGCCTCTTCCTCTTGACGAGCGTCTGCGTCTCCAGGCTCTGCTGAAAGCACCGTGGTTATGAGTAACCCCATCCACTCATGCTGAGCAATTACGCAAACATGTCGTGGAAGCAATGCAACTGTTGGGTCAAGCAGCAAGCACATTCCTAGTTTTGTGGTTGTTGCCGAGAGGCCTCCACAGAGGTACCTGTTTCCTCTGGGCCTTTGCACATGCTGCCTGGCTTGGTTTGGGCCAGAAAGTGGGCTGGGTCAGCGGGCGAAGGCACAGGCATGGAGGGCGGGCCTCGGTTGTACCCTGAGTGAGGACGGATGTGGCTGAGGGGGGGGTTAGAGCCCACTGGGGCCGGTCTGACCCTCACACACCAACACCGCAGGCCCCAGAGGGGTTTGCCTGAGCTGCTGTCACAGGTCCTTAGGATGTGGTGGCCCCCGACTGCATCCTGTTCTGTGCTGCCCATCAGGGTCCTGCATGCCCAAGGGAAGCAGGGGCACAGCCCCAGGGAGGCATCACAGAGGGGCTGTGTGTCCCGAGGGGGGCGGGGGCGGCCGGACAGCGTGGACAGGAGCGTTTCCCACCTGAGTCACACCAGGGGAGCCAGCCTCTTAGAGGTGTGCTGTGGGGACCAGGACAGGGTCCCTGCAGAGGACTCTGTGGCAGCAAGAACCACTGAAGGACATGCCACCTCCCCACCCCTGGGGTCCAAGGCCCGGGCTGTGCCCCTCTCTGCAAACGAATCAGCCCAGGAGGCCTTCTTGCTCTTTTCCCCACAGAGCCCTTGAGAGGCCCTGGGCTTGCCTCCCCGCCTGGCCCGTGTCCCTGTTCCTCACGGGGCTACAGCGTCACTGGCGAGTGTCGGAGCCTTGCAGCTGGTGCCTGCCCAAGGAGGGCCCTCCGCGGCCACCCGCGGGGCCACCTGTCTCTCCCGAGGTGCTGCTAACCACACTAGAGTCTTGCCGGCCTCCCTCTCCCTTACCTTCCTCTTGGCCCACCTCAGAGCGGGGGAAAGCCTTTTATTTTTCAGAAGAGTTTGGTGTTTTGCTATTAGGGGCCTTTTTTGTTTCAAGTTTTGAGTCCTGTGAAAACAGGAGTGATGGAGCTCTCTGCCTCCTGCAGCAGCCTGGGGCTCCAAGCAGGGATCCCGCTGGCACCACTCTGTGCTGTGAAGGGGCTATCGGGAAAGGGACGGTCCTCCCTTAATAGGTCACTAAACTCCCCCGGAAGTGTGTGTGGAGAGGGAGGGAAGATTCACACTGACCTCGCGCCTTCCCCTTCCTGCTCTTTCTCGCCTCGTGCCCTGTTGGCAGCAGGCGTTTGCCAGCCCCCTGCCCTTCAGGACAGTTCGAAGGCTGTAGGACTCAAAGGGGTGGGCAGGACCCCTGGCCCACGACAGGTGGCAGACCTCACTGAGGGGAGGAAACTTACACACTTTTATATTTGGTTTGAGTGCTAAGCAGTCTGTGGCTAACGGAGAGCATACGGGACAGCTGGACGTGCTTTTTGGGCTCAGGGGCACACAGTCGGAGCAGGGAGGTTAGGAAGCTGCTCTCGGGGAGGGTGGGGCAGGAGGGGACACACGGCGGAGAGACTGGGTGAGGGGGACCCAGGCACCCCACTAAGTAGCTGACCCTTCCTCACCTAGGCCAAAAGTAGCAAGAGGTGGCCCCTGGGCCATGTCTACTGACGTCTTTGGTTTGACTCACATAATTAAAAATGTATTTTAGAAATTTATTTGCTGACCTGTAAGATGTGAAATATCGGACCCAAATTCAGATTCCACCTCTCTTGGGAAACAATCGGCATCGGGTAACATTGTCTCCTCGGGCTTCTATCACAAAGTGCCCCCCGGGGGTGGCCTAGATCAACAGAAATTTCTTCTCTCCCAGTTCTGGAGGCCACAAGTCCAAAGTCAAGGTGTCAGCAGAGCCAGCTCCCTCTGAGACCTGCAGGCGAGGACTCTTCTTTGCCTTTCCTGGCCTCTGGGGGCCGCCAGCATCCTTGGCATTCCTTGGCTTGCAGATGCGTCATTGCAATCTCCGCCTGCGTCATCGTCACAGGCCCTCTCCTCTGTGTGTGGGCCTGTTTCTGTGTCTCTCCTCCTCTCTTAGGGACACCAGTCCTAGTGGACTAGAGCCCACCCTAATTCAGCAAAACCTCATTTAACGTGATTAATCTGCTGTGACCCTATTTCCAAATAAGGTCACATTCATAGGTACTGGGGGTTAGAACCTCAGTATATCTTTTTGGGGACAATGCAACCCGTAACAGGTCTGTCACGATCGGCTGGGCACCAGCAGTGGTTGCCTGCCTCAGATAGGCCCCTGATTGCATGAGCCCCAACGGGGTGGACGGCCTTTCACTCCTGGAAGCTTCGTGTCCCGGTCTCTCTGCAATTCTCGCTGACACCAGTACCCCTACCCACTCTTGCCCCCACCTCCTCTTATCCATCTCAAATCCCGTTTCCAATCCCGCCTATCCCCCGAGGTCTTCTGTGGCATTTATCCTTGGTAGTGGAGTGTCACTGCTGGGAGCTCAGAGCAGCGATATTCATGCTGCACGTTTTGATCATAACAGCACATTTCGTCTGGGTCTTCAGGTACGTTGCCATGTGGCTTCTGCAGCACTGACTGGTGTCTGCAGTGCACGCTGTGAACCTCCCAATGTCTTACCTCAATAAATAGGGGACCATGACGTTGGCTCTTGGCACCACGCCAGGGAGGGGAGGTGAGGAGATCAAATGATATTTGGCTACATGGGGAAAACAGCGTGTGTGTGTGTGTGTGTGTGTGTGTGTGTGTGTGTGTGTGTAAAAAATCTCCACCCAGATCACCTCTGGCGGTTTGAGCACCCCCCTCCCAACAAGAGGACACTGGGTTATACAACCCCGGCTGTCTAACGAGGGCCTTTCTGGGCACAGATGATTCTGAGAGACTAGAAATAGGTGTTTAAAGCTTTTCCCGAGAGCTCAGAATGTAATCATTTAGATTCTGCCGTGCGAGATTGTTGGCAGCGGGCAGCAGGAGAGCCTTCGTCCGCCTCACAGCCAGACCTCTAACCGCTCTGCGCCCTCCTCCTCCTCGCAGGCTCCGGCCTCTCCTCGTCTCCGTCGACACCCACCCAAGTGACCAAGCAGCACACGTTTCCTCTCGAGTCCTATAAGCATGAGCCCGAACGGTTAGAAAATCGCATCTACGCCTCCTCTTCCCCTCCGGACTCGGGCCAGAGGTTCTGCCCGTCCTCCTTCCAGAGCCCGGCCAGGCCTCCGCCGGCATCGCCGACTCACCATGTAAGTGTGGGCCCCGCGCTGGGGCGGGCTGCCGGCCGGGAGGGAGGCTGGCCCCTGGGCTGTCCCCTGGGCCGGGGCACTTGGACTGCACACAGGCTGCAGCCACCGGTGTGCTCTCCTGGCATTTTGGGTACAATTTATCACAGGTCACAGCCTGAGAAAAAAATGGCGAGGGCGCAGTGGGCAAATGGAAATCCGGTAGAAAATGGTGACATCTGGTACATGACCAGGAAAAGTTTTTCATTCCCTCAGCTTCTTAAAAATCATCTGTTGAAAGCTTGTTTTTGAATCTACCTTGATTGGGATACTGAAGTAATTAGGCAAAGCAAAGAAAGTAAAACAAATAGAAATTTTAGTCTGCAGTTTCAAGATTTGAAGTCTGATATCAGGTGACTTGAGATACCCTCTCAGAAAGGGGACACGGGGAGGCAGAGGCCTTTGCAGCCTTCAGAAGGTCAGCTGAGCGGGGTCAGGGACAGTTCGCACAGGGAGCGGCCTCGCTGCAGCACTTAGGCACCCCGCGTCTCAGCAGCACGGCCCGACGTGCGGAGACCCCGTCCGTCACCTAGTTCACACGAGGTACCGCAGGTGCCCAGAGTCAATCCTGTGCCCTGCGAGGACATGAGAGCATCACTAACGTCTGCCTCTGTGGATGTAACTTTTCACCCAGTCGACGCATTAGTCTCCTGGGGCTGTCGTAACAAAGTACCGCAAACTGGGTGATTTAAAACAGTGGAAATTTATTCTCACAGTTCTGGCATCTGCAAGCCCAAAATCAGGGTGTCGTAGGGTCACACCCCCTCCAGGGCCTCCCGGGAGGACCCTTCCTTGCCTCTTGCAGCTCCTGGAAGCCCCAGGCGTTTCTTGACCTGTGGCAGCATCGCTCCATTCTCTGCCTGTCTTCACGTGCTGTCTTTCCTCTGTGACTGTTTGTGTCCAAGTTTCCCTCTTCTTATAAGGACACGCGTCATATTGGATTGGGGCCCACGTAATGACCTCAGCTTAACCTGATTACATCTGCAAAGACCCTACTTCCAAGTAAGGCCACATTCACAGGTACGGGAGTTAGAACTTCAACATATCTTTTAAGGGACACAATTCAACCCGTAACCGTTGTTATCTTTTGGGAGGAGATGTGTCTGCCATGCAGAGAACACACCATGATGATCTGGCAACGGGCAGGTGATAGTTCAAGTGCATATAAAATTTGCTCCTTTACAGTTGGATTTTGTTGAATGTTTTTAATTTATGCGCTAACTTCTCCTTAGGAACTTGGCTGATTGCATTAATTTTGCTACAGACATAATCTTCATGGAGGAATGTGAGTTGCTTAAAGACTTCTAACAGTCTGAAAATATTTAGATATAATTTATCTCTGCCTTTTAGAATAAAAAGACACTTTCTGTAAACAATGACCGTGAAAATCATGTTTACAAAATCTGTTCCCATGAATTTTATTCTAAAATTGGAAAGGGGGTGGGGTGATTAATCAGACTTTAGGAGACAGCACTCATTTTATCATTTATTTATTCAGCAAATACTTATTAAGCAACTGCTGTGTGCCCAAAACTGTGCTAGCATCAGCGATAGGAAGACAAATATGTGACTCGTACTGAGATGGGGACGGTCTGTTTTATTCACCACTTGATTAACAGCCGTGTGCATTATGCATGCGAGGGTTTCAGTAACTATCTACTGATTTCACAAAAGAGGGAGCTTTTGTCTATTCCGGGGGAACAGAGAGGTAAATCATTGCAATAGAGTATGATAGAATCTGTTCGGTTTTTGTGGGAGAAAACACCCTATCCTGTCCTGATGAGTGGAAGAGCTGATCCCAGAGGAAGCAGAAATTGTTTCCAGCAGGAAAGAACAGTAATGAGCATTGCATTTGCGGGTGAGTCCCCTGGCTGGGTATGGAAAGAATGTTGGGTGTGGGTAGAACAGGAGCCCGGATAAGGCGCAGTGTGAAATAGTGTAGGCCTGGTGGCAGCTGAAGGTGGAAAGAAATGGAAGAGTGTTCAAAGTAAACAGCTATTTTGGAGGTAGAATTGAAAGGATTTGGAGTGATTGATGAGTAGAAGGGGAAAGAGATGAATCAAGGTGACTCCTGAGGTCTTGCCTTAGGAAAGGGCATGGGTGGTAGCTGCATTTGCTGGGCGGGGAGCCGAGCTCACGAATGTGTGTGTGTCCGTGGACATGGTCCTTTAAGGTGCATGCCCGGACACATTCTAGTGCAGGTGTCCAAAGGGCAATTGGATGTGTGAGTGTGGAGCTAGAAATTAGGATTAGAAAACCATCCAAATATAAATGGCAATTGGCACCATACTAGTAGATGAAATAATCCAAAGAGATATATGGCAGATAAAAAGAGAGCCAGAAAAATGTGGGCATCTAAGGAACAACCAAAGGAGAAGGCTTCTGAATCGCCTGGAAAGTAAGCAGAAAACCGAGCAACAGTGTCCCCGAAGCAGCAGGAACGTGTGTGCCTGTGTTTCCCATGTTCGGAGGGAGTGGCCAGCGGTGTCAAAGGCAGCAGGATGGCCACGGAACATGAGGACTGAGGTCGTCGTGGCTCTGACAAGAGCACTCCAGTGGCATGGCCAAGAGCAGGAGCCATGTAATGTAGGTTGAATGATTACAGGTTGGAGGTCTCGAGTATGGATAACTTTATAAAGAACCCCGACGTGAAAGGGAGAACAGGGGCTATAGCTAGAAGAACAGAGGTGATGCTGTATTCCTGTAACTGGGAATGGATTCCAACGCTAATGGGGAAAGAGTGAGCAGAAGGGAGCAATTAAAAACAGAAGAAGAACACGGCACGCCTGGTCCTGTAGGGGAAGGAGGCGGGAGCACGGCAGTGGAGATGTTTGTCTCGGACCAATGGAGTCATCCTCCCTTGGGTTGAAAACTTCCAGGCAAAGGTGTGAGAAGGGTCAGCGCTTTCCCTGTTTCCCTCCACAGCACTTACTCCACGCTCCCCCTTTTTCTTCTAGGAATTTCACTCTGGACCTGCGTCTTGGGTCAGAGTCCCTGGAGGCAGAGCCTGAGGTTGGGATTCAGGAAAGTTTGTTTGTTTACTAAGGGAGTGCTCTGGCAAGGAACCTGTGGGGGATGAGGAGGAGATTTCAGATGAGATCTGGCCTCAGCCTGAGGACAGGAGAGGAGCTCTGAGGAATAAATTGCACCAGGATTTGCCCCGCCTGGAGGCAAGGAAGCTGGGCTTTTGCACCTTCATAATAGGCAGCCTTTAGTTAGAGGATTCCCCAGGGTGAGGGAGATGCATCTCCAGCTGAGATGGCTCCTGCCACCCAAGAAAAAGCCTCTTAAAAGGTGGCAGGTAGGAGCCATTAGCAGCAGCAGCTCCTGCAGCAGCTTGGTGTACCAGAGCCAATTAGAAAGAACCCAGGGCATAGCCCACAGTCTGGATTCTCCAGTCCCCTCTCCCCTCACCTAGCCGATTCGTGTATCGAGCAGAACTGAGTACAGTCTGATACGGTCCAGTGTTGCCATGACAGAGTATCTGAGGCTGGGTAATAGATAAAGAAAAAAGGGTGTATTTGGCTAACGGATTCTGGTGGCTGGAAAGGTCAAGACGGGGCAGCTGCATCTGGTGCAGCCTCATGCTGCTTCCACCCCTGGCAGAAAGCGGAAGGGGAGCAGGTGTGTGCAAAGAGATCACACAGCAAGAGGGGTAGCAAGAGGGAGGACTGAGGAAGCCAGACTCTTTTTTTAACAATCTGCCCTCTCAGGAATTAATCCATTCCTGTAAGAGCGAGAACTCACTCGCTCCTGCAGAGGGGCATTAATCTATTCATGAGGGATCCACCCTCATGACCGAACTCTCCACTAGGCTCCTCTTCCCAACACAGCCACGTTGAGGATCAAATTTCAGTGTGAGTGTTGGTGGGGAGCGACCACAGCCCACCCATAGCAGGTGCTGTATCAGTTTTTCTATCGCTACATAACGAACCTCCCCAAAACTTACTGACCATTTACTTAACTCACAGTCCCGCGGGTCAGCAGTTTGGCTTGGGCATTCTTCCAGTCTTGGCTGTGCCTGCTCATACTACATCTGTGGTCACCTACCGGGTCACTGGGGGACTGGCGGGACCAGAGGGGCCTCAGCCTGAACAGCTTGTCTCTGTTCCACGTGGCCCCTCCTCCAGCAGGCTGACCCTGACTTGTCCACGTGACAGTGGTGGGGCTCCAGGAGAGGTGGCAGTCTGTGCAAGGTCCCTTGAGGCCTAGGCTCAGAACTGCATGCATAGCCTGTCCGAGGCAGAGTCTGTTTCCTCTCCCTGTGGATCTGTGTTGGCATTATGACTTTCTTTGGCCAAGAAAATGAGGCAGAGGTGACAAAGTCCCATGGCAGAGGGAATGGATACAGGAAGAGGTGGAGAATGGGGCATATCTCTGCCTCTGCTAACACAGCCTACCACGTCTTTTCACTTGGTTTCTACAGCTGAATCTGCAGTAGAACACATAATGCACTAGAGTCTAGAGGTTCATGTACCGATATTCAAAGACTCTAGTTTAGATGGTTGACTTCTGCAAGAGTCATCTTCCTGTAAAGTAGACTGTTGCAGTTTACATTCCCCGAGAAACAGACTCTAAGACGAACGTAGTATGCAGGCTGTTTATTAAGAAGTGCTCTTAGGATCAACAACTATGGGAGAAGGGAAGAAAGGATCAGGCAGAGGGTGAAATTTTGATGCAACGCCGTCTCAGCAAAGACCTCAGCCGACCCACAGGGAGAGCTGAAGCTGGGGTGGCTCATCAGAGGTGTCCCAAGTTGGCACAGCAGGGTCAGGCCTTTACACCCTCACATGAGCCAGTCAGTAGATGACAGCTGTACTTGGAAGGGGCTGACCTTGGGCAAGGCAATGCTCTTCAGCCAAGGGCGGTCCCGGCTGACAGTCAGCAGTATTCCCAACAGCTGGGGAGCGTCCTTCCGTTCCTGAACGGGGATGTGGACTGCACCACAACCTCCAGTGCTCGCAATTATTCTCTACTTCATTTTTAAATTAATGATACCAACATCCTGACAGGTAAAAATAAGAGCTATCATATTTCTTCTCATGATAGATTTCATATACAGGGTGTCCCAAAAGTCGCCTTTAGGAAAAATTTTGTAAAATTTTGTAACGAATGTTTTGTAACTAAAGGTACATTTAGCTATAGTTTCCCATTTTCCCTACGTATGACGACTTTGGGGACACTCTGCATAACTACAGGGAAGGAAGGGCTGCAGGATCAGCTTGATCAGGGCTGAATGGCAAAGGTTCCATCAGGCCCGGGGAGAGGAAGCGTGACCCCCACCTCACCAACTGACCATCGCCAACTGCCAGCCAGGGCACAGTGCCACCATGAAGTGGATCGTCCAGCCCCAGTCAAGCCTTCAGGTGACGGCAGCCCCAGCCATACCTGACGGAGCGACCTCAAGAAAGACCCTGCACCAGGACTGCTCAGCTGAACTGCTCAGGAACTCCTGGCCCACAGAAGCCATAAGAGATAATGTATTAGTGTGGTAGGGCTGCCATCACGGACACCGCAGGCCGGGCGGCTTGAACGACAGAAATGGGTGTGTCGCAGTGCTGAAGGCCGCACGTCCAGGTTCAAGGTGTCGGCAGATGTGGTTCTCCTGAGGCCTCTCTCCTTGGCTTACAGAGGTGGCGCTGTGACCCCACATGGCCATTTCTTTGTGTGCACACATCCTTGGTGTCCCTTCCCATCTTATGAGGACACCAGTCCTGTTGGACGAGGACCCGCCCTATGACCTCCTTTAACCTCAGTACCTCCGTGAAGGCCCTGTCTCCAAATACAGTCACGTTGGGGGTAGGGCTTCCACATATGAATTTGGAGGAAATGCAATTCAGTCCGCAGCAGATAATGAATCATTATTATTGTTGTAAGCCACTGGGTTTGGGTGATTTATTACATACCCACAGGTAACTCAATAGATAACTAATCCTTGTTTCATGATGTGTGATGGGAAGTAGCGTAACTCAGTGCATTGAGCAATAGATAAACTCAGGAGCTTGGGGTTCTTTTAAAGCACACTATCTTGCCACTGAATCGATTGCCAGGATCCCTAGTTTTCCCAGCATGAAGATTTGGGACAAAATCACTGACCAAAAAAAAAAAAAAGAAAGAAAAGAAAAAAGAGGAAAAAAAAGAAAATCACTAACCAGTCTCTTTCAAGGTTGTTACTTAGAATAATTACTTTTTTTAAGAGAGAAAAGCACTTTAAGATCTATAAATATTTCAAATCACTCGACATTAAGGAGCAGTTAAAGATTTTATATGCACACTTTGTTTTTATACGGTTTGCCGTTTTAAAGATCAAGTTAACAACCTAATAAGGTCTTGATGTTAAAGCTATCTGCCCAGAAATGGCAAACTCACAGTTCCATCATCTGTGACTCACAACAGATTAGAAACTTTAAAAATAGTTTGGAAAAAAAATTCGCATTGGGTCAAGGAGTAGGAGCCTCAGAGAGAACTGATTCACTGCGGATTGGTTATCATGAGAGCTGGAGCTTAGACTAGTGTCGCCTGTGCGCTCAAGGGACAGGCAGAGAATATCTATTCTCCTCGCTGTCAACAAAGAGGTATTATAATTGGCATTCTTCCTGTGCTCCTGCACGGTGGGAAGTGTGACTCAATGAGCAAAAAGAAGGCAGAGCCCCAATCAGAGGCGCACATGGCAGAGCACTTGGCCCGTGTTTCTGAGCGGTGGCCAGGGTCTTTAGGAATCTTGTTCATTCTGTTCCCCAGGGTAGCTGAGCTCCAAGGAAAATATTTTGGATCTTTTTAATATGATAAATGCCCTGCCTCTGTCATCTCCCCAGGGACCCATGAGGGCAATCACGTGTTCAGCAGCTATTTCCTAAGGCCCTATCATTTGCCTGGCACTTTGCTAGGCACTGGGTGCTCAAAGACAGCTGAGATAATTCCTGCCCCGAGAGTCTCCCCAACAGAGAGAGGTAGTAAGTCCTGTAGAAGCAGAACCCTGAGCTAAAGCAGTTGAGGGGAGCATTCTGCCTCTTCACTCACGGGGAAACAAAACTAACAGATGGAATATTTGCTTCTAAAGATCCACAGGTCACGTCGCCATGGACTCAGCAGTGTTTTGATCACAGGGATGCAAGTGTAGGGTAAAAAATAGAACTTTCCAACAGCATATTATTTTACTCTCTTGGTTGACAGGAGCCAACCCTTCTCTGGCAAAATCTGTGTCCCTTAATTGTGACAATGGCCACTCGAGGATTCATCTCGAATTTTCCCACCCTAGAAGAGCAACCTGCCTTCCCCTGGGAGAGGCACTGGTTATAATGCTGGTGTCGTATTGAGTTGGGATCCTCACTAGAGTTAATTACAGGTGACCTATGACTAGCACCTGTACTGGGAGGCGGAGTGCATGGTGATTATCTTTCTCCCTGAGTTGGGCTGGGAATGTAAATCAAGGACATCACCTAGCTATGCGACATAGCTTCACCGTAAGTGAAGAAACCATCATGATAAAACTGTCACAATTTCTGTAAGCCAGGGCAGAAGCCAGTGGCAGAGCGCTGCCGAGTGAGTGTGAGATGACAGGGCACGCACAGAGAACGCGGACGGCTTTATCAGCAGTCTGGTGTGAAGAGGAGATGCGAGCGAGGGCTGTGGCTGGAGGGGGCCCGGGAAGGGCATTTCTTTTAAAAGACGAGCGTGACCCGGGCATGTTAATATGCTGGTGGAAAGGCGTTGCCGGTTCCTGTGCCTGGAATCCCACTCTACCCGGGCCTCTGTTAAATGGGAATACGGTCTTTGTCTCACAGCGTGGTTGCGAGGGTCAGATGAGACAATCGTGTAAAGTTACTCACCAGAGGCTTGATGGCTAGCAAATGCTAAAGCCAGGATTTGAACTAAGGCAATTGGCTCCAGAACCTGTGTTCTCGGCGTGGTTTTTATACACCCCTAGGGACGTCCAAAATTCTCAGCCTGTCCAGCA